CCCACAACAACAACCACAGGATCGCCTCCCACAACAACCACCACAAGAACACCTCCCACAACAACAACCACTGGAACAACGCCCACAACAACCACAACAGGAACACCTCCCACAACAACCACCACATTTTCACCTCCCACAACAACAACCACAGGAACACCTCCCACCACAACAACCACAGAAACACCTCCCACATCAACAACTACAATTTCACTGCCCACAACAACAACGACAGGACCACCTCCCACAACAACAACCACAAGAACACCTCCCACAACAACAACTACATTTTCACCTACCACAACAACAACCACAGAACGTACCAAAGAATTCTCCACAACAACCCCTAAAATAATTACACATCCAGTGGTAACAACAACACAAAAAAAAACCTCTCAATGTATGTGTGAATACCAGAATCATACATTTCCTGCTGGTAAGTTTTTGTTCTTCTTTCCTCGTTGTTGTCCATGCAATAATTATTTAGTTATTAAACTTTAGTTTCTTATTTTGCCTTTCCTTTTTATAAAACTTTTTTTCATAAAGTGTTTAAAAGATAGTTTTTTTTATCAACGTCCATTGAGGAATAATTAACTTTTTTTGCAGAAAGTTGAAGTGGCCACAGGAAAATCTAATAATCAACTCTGTTGCCAGTGTGGCCAACTAACAATGTTAACAACTGTACATTTTATAATCCATTATTAGTTATTTAGCTCTAACTCAGTTCTTATTGTCACATAGGTAGCGCCATGTACAATGGGACTGATGGAAAAGGCCAGTGTTACACTGCATATTGCGATTCATCATGTGGTACTGAAATCCGTCCCCAGCCATGTAACTTTACACCTCCACCAACTTCATCTATTCCCATAACGAGCTCTCGCACTCCAGTAATTCCAGAAACCCCAGGCTGCCTTTTTCTCAATCCACCTAGAAAGGTATTTGAATTAAAATTTGTTGTTCTTCCTGAAAGTTTACAGCAAAATAATTTTTTAAACAGCCTCTGCAACATTTGTGGACATACAGATAAGTGTTAAATTTAATACATCCGACGTGATTTATAGTGTGTATCAGTGTGTATGCCTCTTAGGCTAAAATATAATGTAACTCATGTGTAATTCATTGCTAAAAGCACTGTTTTGCTCTCATCAGAATGGTGAAACCTGGCGTTCAAACAACTGCACCACAGAAACATGTGAAAATGGAAAACACATTACAACACATGTGCAATGTAATGTAACAAATATTGTTTGTGAGAATGGGCAACCACCAGTTAAAGTTTATGATGAAAATGGCTGTTGTTTCCACTATGAATGCAAATGTAAGTTTCAATAAAACCCTTTTAAAATTCCACATATCAAAGCTGCTAAACATGTAAGTAAATTACAAAATTATCTTTTGTTTTGATGCAATCTCAATCTAATATTTGCAGGTGTTTGTGGTGGCTGGGGAGATCCTCATTATGTGACATTTGATGGACAATACTACAGCTTCCAAAAAAATTGCACTTATGTCCTGGTTAAAGAGATCACACCTCGACACAATTTTAAAGTTTATATTGAAAATGTAAACTGTAATCCCACTGGAACTGTGACCTGTCCTAAATCCCTTATTGTGTATTACAAAAACTATACAGTTATTCTCACACAGGAGAGAGGAGCAAAGACTGTGAACAAGGTGGGTATCACTTAGACAAAGTGTCTTAAAAGTACTGACATTATAATATATTCAAATATTATGCAGCACCATTGAGATATTTCACTAATAGTAATTAATGCTAAAATTCCTTAGGTATATGTCAACGGCAGTCTTGTCACTACTATGTTTACAAATAATGACATGACCATCACAAATCAAGGAATTGAGATGCGGTTAACAATCCCAAAAATTGAAGCAGTTGTGATGTTCAAAGGTCTTTTATTCAGCGTAGATGTACCAATGACTCTTTTCTATGGCAACACAGAAGGACAGTGTGGTAAGCTAATAGTTGAATGTCTTAAAGTATTGATTGTGAAAGTTAAATGAGCATAATATGGTAGTAAATAATGCTAGAAATAAGTCTATGTTCTAATTAAAAACCTATATTTACAAGTCAAATTTTCCTTCATGATCTGTGATTGATATAACATTCTCTTCTGCATTAACAGTTGCAGTTTTATTGAACTTGTGACAGTGCTGTTTGTAGCCCATATGATTAAAACATGGGCTACTGTATCGCTTAGTAAAGAATGCCAGGCTCATATACAGGCTGATAGTCAGTTTGTCCCTGTGTTTGGCTGTAATCTGTATAATGTTAACATTTCTTTTCGCAAGGTACCTGTGACAATAACACAAAAAATGACTGCAGACTGAAAAATGGTCAGATTTCTCCATCATGCTCTGACATGGCATATGACTGGCGTGTATCTGTCGACAATACGCCATACTGCAATGGGCCTCCCCCTCCACCTCCACCTCCACCTCCAACATGCGTCACAAGCTCACTTTGTGAAATCCTAAACAGCGAGTACGAATTTACAAAATAAACACATGTTAGTTCCATCAGTGAGACCACTGGAGTAATCTTCTTTATTTGACATTGTGTTTTAAGGGTATTCAAGGAATGCCGCAAAGTAATAAGTGTACATCCATTTTATGAAGCCTGTAAATTTGATGTTTGCTACACAACTGTTCCTATGGGATGCAGCAGTATTGAGGCATACAACTTGATGTGTGCTGAGGCATCTATCTGTGTAGACTGGAGGAATGCTACTAAAGGAGTGTGTGGTAAGACAGAGCTTTTTTTCTTAGTTTTTTTTTAACCATAATGTTTTAGATGTTTTCTAACCATTTTCATCTTAAATACATATTTGTTTCTTGTAGAATATAAATGCCCAGACAATAAAGTCTACAAGCCTTGTGGGCCAACTGTTGTTCAAACTTGCAATGCAAGGTAATCACTACATTATCATAACTGCACCCAAGTAACACTAAACACAAAGTACAGTTACAGGTGTGATAAGAGCACTCAAAGAGTGCAATTCCCCACAGCGAGTGAGGCCTATACTAAAACTTTGATGTTTTAAATCTTTTTTTATATTAAAATGTCCTCAAATGCTCAGCTAACCTAGGTACTCATGTCTCCAAAAGCCTAGTTTGTTGTTGGAAAATTTGAAGACTATCCATAACAAATGTGGAGAATATAAAGTTTTTACTGATTTTCACATTTGATGTCACATTGACTGGATTTTTTACCCAAATTAAATCTGTTATTGGTATCTACCGTCACACAAAATGTAAACGTATCTTAAAAACTGTGAATGCTGGACAGCTAACAAACAGACAGGCAGAGAAACAAACAGAACAGATTACATCATCCCCTGGGGAGGATAAATACAATCAGTCTTGAACTAACTGGAAGTTGAATGCAAAGTGGTATGAGATGAAAAACATGCATCAGTTTTAGTGACATTTCAGGTCATTATTTGTAGTAACCGATTTCAGCCTGAACCAAAGGGGACTAAGTGATGCTACTCCTACTCCAGTACAAAAGTACTACACTGACATATAATTATAAATTCTTGTTCTATTTCTGAAGTAATGATACCTCTTAACTGACTTCTTATTTAGATACAATGAACAGTTCTCTCAGCAATGTAATGCAGAAGGTCCCCAAAACAAGAACTGCAATTCTTTTGGAGAGGGGTGCTTCTGCCCAGGGGGAATGACTTTGTTCAGTTCAACCTCTGATGTCTGCGTCTCCTCCTGTAAGCATATTTTCTGTTGCATATTAAAGAAAAATCTAATGTGAATCTTTGTAAGTATACATGTGAGCTGCTTGTTTTTATGATTTAAGGTTGCGCTGGACCTGATGGCAAACCTAAAGAGGTAAATGCTATGATATTCTACATATACATTTTCAATTATTCACAGTGTATTTGTTGATGTTGTGTAAATAATTCTTTTTCATCACCTATATAGCTTGGTGAAACCTGGAAGATTGGCTGTCAGGAATGTGTTTGCGATAAGAACACTTTTAGTGTGGTTTGTAAGAATGTAACATGCGCTACTCAAAATCCAGTAAAGTGCACCGAAGGTGAGGTGCTGGTGAACAAAACAGTGGACTGCTGTGTGACACCGACATGTGGTAAGTTGTTTTGGATATCACGTATCCTCTTCTGCATGAATCAAAGCAAATATGAACAGTTCTTCAAAATAAAAAATTCAAATAATATTTTAGGGCACAGTTTAACATCATTTAACAACAGCAATAATCAGCTCCTTAAATTAACTGGGTTTAGAAAAGGATTTTTTTTTTTGGGCGGCTGCTCACTCACTGAGCTAAACTGGTGCCCAGGAATATGCCCTTTAAATATGATATTTTTAGCTCATCTGGTTGAAGGACCTTCATCTGTCTGTCTGTCCATCCACCAATTACAATGCTCCTCCTAAAGAGGAATTGAAACTTGCACACAATGATCAATTTGGTCTATAAGACTAATTTTTCTCAAGGTTAAGGTTGGGGTTTTTTTTAGGAAAAAACCTGTGAGTTGCAACTGATTTTGAGCCAGATGAGCTACTGCTAAATATCATTGATGTTCTGGATCTATTTCCTTTTTTTTTTTTAATATGTGTTTTCCAGAAACACCTGCTGTAAAATACTCTAATTAATTCTGGATTTTACTGGTTTGTTTTGTTTTATATCCACTAATGCTGGAACTATTTCCACCAACAGAATGTAACACGAACACTTGTCCATTGCAACCACATTGTGACGTGGGATTTGAATTGAAGGTTAACACCCCAAAGGATAAATGCTGCCCTGTTTACAGCTGTGGTTAGTGCAACTTATAGGTGTTGTTTATTCAGTGTGTGAAAAGTCTTAAACTTTAATCTAATTATTTTTGTGAACACTGTCTTATTTAGTGCCCAAAGATGTTTGTGTCTTTAATAATACCGAGTACAAGGTAAGGAATAATTATAGTGAATATTTATATTTATTTATATGTATTTTGGAGGGTTTCTTTAAAGGCAATATTTATATTATGTGTTACTATTAAGACTGTTAAAACATTACTTTTTATGTTCACACACAGCCTGGTGATGATTTCCGCAAAAGCCTATGTGAACAATGCCTCTGCACTGAAACCAAGAATTCCAAAATGGAGCTGAACAGCTACAAGTGTACTGAAATACAGTGTTTAAAAAATTGTGACAAGGTACTTTTTGATGAAAATATTTGTATTTTCATTCATTCTGAATGTGAACCACTAAAATTATATGTAAATAAGGATTTTAAATGACCTCACATTTTACGTCCAAGCTCATTTACTCACATACTTTATTTTTTGAAATCTAAGATGAGTGTGTTTTTAAAACAGGTGAAGATTTATGTAATTTATGTAGTGTATTATTATTGATATGTTTGAAGACCTGATCTAAATATTGGAAAGTGCTGCCCTAAATGCTGTTGCTGATTTGTGAAATCAATCTTTAAAAGGGTTTTCATTTGTTCACTTTACAGCTAGCTATTCACATAGTTATGTTGATGTGATATGCTCTGACTTTACATGTCTATCTATAAAATATTTGTTAAATATCTGATAAATATAGTTTTTACCAATTCAGCAAACCTTCTACTCAACCTTCTTAAGTAGCAATGAGAATATTTCTGGAAAATAATATTTCTCTAATATTTTACTATTTGAGTATCACAGATCTAATAGCTACCACAATCTGCTAAATACCACTTGCAGGATGATTATTAAGTATTTTGTAACTGCTGCCTACTAATCATGCTATATGTAGAACATATAGCATGATTTAACAATATTAAATGTTGTATTTTTTTTTTTTAAAAATAGGGCTATGAATATACGGATGTGCCTGGATCATGTTGTGGAAAATGTATAAGGACAAGCTGTGTTGTGAATGTCTCAGGCGTTTCTTCTCCAGTAATTATTAAGGTTGGTACAACATAATTGAAACACTTAATGAGTTGTGATATGAAAAAAAATATCTTCTTAATAACTGACTACTGTTCTTCACAGCCTTCTCAGACTTGGTGGTCAAAGGATCAGTGTACCAAGTATGACTGCGTGAAAGTGAACAATGAATTTGTAGTTGTAGTACAAAACACAACATGTCCTCCATTTGATCCCAACAACTGCATTCCAGTGAGTACAATCCTTTAAAAGCAGAGGTTTTGTTTCTTACAGCCAAATATTGACACTCAAAAAAGAACATTTGAAAGATTAGTTAGTTTCTTTCTTTCTTCCTTCCTTTCTGTGATTTTGTTTTATAATTATAAAATACAATTCCTAAAATTGTAAGTTTGATTTAAATGTATTTAAAATGTACAGAAGCCAAAAACAGTCAATGTAAACTACATCCAAATAAAAATATGCATCATTAAATTAAAATAACTGCAAAGCCAAATTTTTTAATTAAACAGAATCAACCTGCTATTGGGTCTTCCAACAGTTTTTTATACAAGTAAGTTGTGTAAGTTGCTAATGTTTACAGTACAAACTCCCTGTTTTTCAGGGAACTGAGCAAACAGATGCAAGTGGTTGCTGCAAAATTTGTAAGTATTAAAAAAAAATCACATTACACAGTATTACTTTATATTTTTGAAAATGTAATTTCATATTAATATATGCCTTCATAAATCATTTATAACTGTTAAATCTCAAATATTTTCTTCTGTTACCCCAAGAAAGAAAGCCAATGCTTATAAATTTCCTGTCAGGCAAACCACAAACAAATCATTTCAGCAGCATGTTTTCATTCACAAAGGCTTCTAGACTTAAGAGCTTTTTTAGGTGACGATCAAATTATTAAACATGAACAACAAACAGAACATGATAATTACCAATCCGGTCATTCAAGTGATTTTCTGTCATTCACAGGTCTGCCTCCTTCCCCCTGTAAAATCCACACCAACACCACCTATCTGTACATAAATGACTGCAAATCAGTTGAGAAAGTGGAACTCACATCATGTGAGGGATCCTGTGGAGCATCCTCCTCAATGTGAGATTCATGAAAATATGCAGAAACAAACTATTTACTCATTCATGCTAAACTGCATGTGCTGTTTTTTATGATAATTTCTTATTAAACAGTTGTTTGTTTTTGAAACTATCTTTATTTACAGATATTCGGCAAAGGCCAATAGCATGATGCATTCATGCACCTGCTGTCAAGAAATGAAGACCAGCGAGAAGGAAGTGCAGATAAAGTGCGCCAATAACACCACAAAAATGTACAAGTACATTTCAGTTGACCAGTGTGGCTGCAAAGCTGCTGAATGCAAAGAGCATGATTGTAAAGATTGTGAAAAGAAAGATGGAAAACTGGACTAGAAAATCTGACAAATATATATGTCAATTATTTCTTCCTAAAACCTATCTAAACAATATAAACATAATATCAGAAGACTAAAAACAAAACTCGATGCTAAACCTCTTAAACAGCAGAGATGTTTTAGTCTGAAACTTGCATCTTCTTAAGTTGTCTCTTTCTAACTTAAAGTCCCTCTCCAAACATTTGCATGTACTCTTTTGGAGGTGGGAGAAAATAATATATTTCTGTGGTGGGTGTGTCCTTTCATCTCTCCAGAAGTCATTCCCTTACAAACTTTATAATGTGCCGTTTCAGCTTCCACATAAATTTAGAAATTCAGATTTAACTGAAATCGCAGTAATTCAGTCATGGTTCTTTGAATTGGGAAAAGAGTTCCATATAAGAATGGGAAAACCAATAACTTGAATTTTAAATTATAGTTGAACATTATTTCTAACAACACAATTATGTAACATTCAATTTTATTATTAGCAAAAGAGTTAAAAGAATGTCTAAAATATCTTTGTCAAATATCTAATATTTTCAACTACTTTCTATTTCAATAAAATTCAGCTTTGATCATGATCATGTGTTCTTGTTTTGGTTTTATATCCATTTTCTGTGTGGTCATTCCTCATTTGTAGCAATAATTGCATGGTATTTGAAAATATACCATCATTAATATTACATGTATTGAATTTGGATTATTTGATGTGATGCTACTTGAAACAGCTATTGGGTGCAAAACCTTTCAACTCTAAAATATCTTTCTGCAATTGTCATTTGTAATAAACCCAAACGTATAAGCCAATTTGTTGGCAAAGAGTCAAATGCACTTGCAGCACAGATTTTGAGTAGCTGGAATAAAAACCTCATCCAGAATTCACATTAGATTCAGATTAACTCTGACAGAGGGCAGACAGGGTGGCGTGGGTGGAGACAAGTGTTAAGGCTTGATTGGTGACAGAAGGATTGCAGCACGATTGAAAGGGAAGGGTTTCAAAGCTGTAGTGAGACTTGCTATGATGTATGGTTTGGAGATGGTGGCACTATAAAACAAAGAAAAATTGGAATTGCTATATATGCAACTGGGTATAGGTAATACATATGAAAATGTGATGTTAATAATCTATAAAGCAATAAGGAGGGTAAAGCTATTAGTGAAGCAGCTGAGATTATTTGGCCAAAGCAAACTTTGTTTAAAAATTTGAAACAGCCAGGAAAGTAAGAGCATGCAATCTGTTTTTATAATATTATGAGCATTAAGAAAATTAATTATTAGAAAGAGGTATTAAAAGGTTGTTTTTATTCGGGGGGGGGGGGGGTTTCTAAAATACTAACACTTTTAGACTCTATATAACACAAATGTCATGGCAGCAACTCACTGTATGTAGATGTATGACCAAGATGACCTGCTGAATGTCATTACTCAACAGAATTCCAGAATGAGGAAGAAAGTTGATTTAAGTCACTTTGAACATGGCATGGATGGCAACCAGACTGGTCTCAGAATTTCAGAAACTGGTGATCTACTGGGATTTTCCCGCCATCTTTACAGTTTACAGAGGATGGTACCACAGTGAGTGGTAATATGGTAAATGGCCTGCATTTGTATAGCGCTTTTCTAGTCCCTAAGGACCCCAAAGCGCTTTACACTACATTCAGTCATTCACCCATTCACACACACGTGATGGCGAGCTACATTGTAGCCACAGCCACCCTGGGGCGCACTGACAGAGGCGAGGCTGCCGGACACTGGCGCCACCGGGCCCTCTGACCACCACCAGTAGGCAAACATGGGGTTAGTATCTTGCCCAAGGATATTTGGCATGCAGCCAGGAGGCAGCCTGGGATCGAACCACCAACCTTCTGATTAGTAGCTGACCTGCTCTGCCACCTGAGCTACAGCCACCCCCGTAATAGTGAGAAGGACTCACCAGGCTCATCCAGGCTGGAAAAACTGATCAGGAAGGCTGGCTCTGTGGTCGGCATGAATCTGGACACTCTGGTGACAGTGGCAGAGAAAAGGACACTAAAAAACTGCTGGACATTATGGACAATGCTGGGCATCCTCTGCACACGGCCATAAACAACCAGAGGAGTCTGTTCAGTGACAGGTTGCTTCTCCCAAAGACAAGAACTAACAGACTTAAAAACTCCTTTGTCCCACACGCCATCAAACTGTTTAACTCCTCTCTGGAGGGGAAAGGGAGGGGAAGCAGGAGGACAAAGGAGGGGGGAACAACTAAGCTGTAGTGCCTTTTCACTGTCCAATACTTTTTGTTAATAACCAACGGTGCAATAGACTTCAATACTTGAAATGTGCAATTCCCTTGTATTCTTATTCCTATTTATTCTATTTATCCCTTTTGTATACTCTTTATTTATATATGTCTCTGTATTTATATATGTGTATATATGGTATTCTGCTCACATTCTGTAACTTCTGTTGGTGCTGTGCTATTTGGAAACCGAATTTCCCAGAGGAACCCACCCGAGGGATTAATAAAGTTCTATCTTATCTTAAATCTTATCTTATCTTATCTTATTGTCTTGTAAAGTCAGAAAAGACTAGCCAGACTACTTCCAACTGATAGGAATGCACCATTAACTCAAATAACCGCACACTGCAACCAAGGTATTCAGAAGAGGATCTCTGAATGCACAAGATATCAAACTTTGAACGCAATGAGCTACAGCAGGACCACAATGAGTACCACTCAGAAACTCAGCTACAATTCATGCAGACTGACTAAAACTAGACAACAGAGGAATGGAAAAACATTGCCTGGTTTGATGAGCCTTGATTTCTGCTGGAACACTCAGATGTTAGGGTCAGAAACAGAAACTGACAGTTCAGGCTGCAGGTGCTATGATGGTGCGTATATTTTCTTGTTAAACTCTGGGCCTGTACCTAATGAGCATCATTTAATTGCCACAGTCTCCCCGAGTATTGCTGTTGACCACGTTCATCTCTTTATAACCACAGTGTACCCATCTTCAAAAAATATTGTTTCCAGCAAGATACGTGTGCCACAAATCTCAAAACATCGCAAACTGGTTTCGTGAACATGACAATTAGTTCACTGTATTCAATGGCCTCACCAGATCTCAGGTCAATAGAGCACCTTTCGGAAGTGGATGAACAAATCTGCAGCAAGTGTGCGATGCTGTCAGATCAATATTGACTAAAATCTCAAATGAATGTTTTAATCGTGTTTAATATCCTCCTTAACAGCATCGTAATTACTGGTAACATATCTGTTAATTTGGTTAAAATGCACGTTAAATAGAAATCGTACCTTTCACTTCTGCCTTTGGTGGAACGATGGTCTTCTTCGCCTCATCCCACCGGAACCTTTATAGTGTAACACACCGCTCGGCAGTCATGTCGGCGCTGAAGTCCAGTCGCTCGTTGCCAGAGTCGTGAAAAAATCGCCGGTGTAACTCATTCTGCAGTTTTTATACTGAAGAATAAAGCGTGTCAAGATTATGTATTGAGGGGAAGCAAGGCGTTCGTTGCAGTATTGATTTATTTTGAGGTAAAGTAAGTTTTCTCCCGACTTCACCCTGAAGCTTTTTTCTTCTTCACTGTTAGCTAACGTTAGGCAGCTTAGCTGAGTAGATATAATAAAACAGTCAACACCACGTCGACTTTGCATATGTTTAAGTGCCATTAAGGTTATATAGGAGAGACTTCCTAAGAAGTAGAACTTACAGTTAGGGCACTACAGTGGAGGGAGTTTAAATTATTATTGCTTGCAGCTTGCAGTTCTTGAATAAACTGAGAAATAAACTGTTCGCTTTTATTTGAGCTACAGTTAGTATTTTTTCATCCCACTAACCCATATTTGTTGCTATTCTCCATTTTATAGTGCGTGATTACATTAATGCGTAGTTACTACTATAATCAGCAGCAGTTTATCTGTTTTCTCAGTTAGTTGCTTGAGCCATGACATCGCTATCAGAGGAGGTTCTGTTGGTGGTGAAAAAGGTCCGCCAGAAGAAGCAGGATGGCACTCTCTATCTGATGGCTGAACGTATAGCCTGGGGTCCAGAAGGCAAAGACCGCTTCACAGTCAGCCACTTGTATGCAGATATCCGCTGTGAGTACTAGATGCCGTTAAACTACAAATCGAGGCACAGAAATGCTCATCTCTACAAAAATTGTTCAAGCTGCTGTTTCTGCTCTGTACAGGTCAGAAGATCAGCCCTGATGGGAAAGCCAAAGTCCAGCTCCAGCTCGTCCTTCACACTGGCGAGAGCACCACATTCCACTTTGCCAACGAGAGCACTGCACTCAAAGACCGAGAGGCTGCCAAGGAACTGCTGCAGCAGCTGCTGCCTAAGTTCAAGAAGAAAGCCAACAAGGAGCTGGAGGAGAAAAACAGGTACATTTTTAACGTAAATACATGTATCAAGGGTAATGTTTTAGCAGAAGTAATCACAGTCTGTAGCCTGCCTGCAGTAATATGTGGTGGTCGTGTTTGTAATTCAATTTTTGGATGTTTAAATGGGGGCCTTCATTTTCAAATTGTGTGAACTGGGGTGTAGATTCCCAGCTGCATTTGTTTTTTCTGAGAAGTTGGATCTCAGAGCTTTCAAACCTGAATGGACCGCAGTCCCCCAGTAGAAGTGGAAAAACCTGGTTTTGTTTGTTATCTGGAAACGTAGTCATTCAGCCATGACTAGCAATACCTGAAATGCAGTGCAATGCCTCCTGCTGCTGCTGCTGCATATTCACAAATAGAGCCTGATCAGTTCTCTGAGTCAAAATACATAACAGTGGTAGTACAGATTCTTTTAAACTTTTACTTCTGTTTATCGGATTGGTGTGGCTTTCCACATCTTTGAGTTCTCTGTAAACTCCTATTGAGTTCTCAGAGTCCATCTGTGTGCATGCCTGAAAGTTGTTCATATTTATTTAGTATCATGATAATCCTTTTGGCTCTGCCACAGGATTTCCCATTTTACAAATATTCTGCAAACAAAGTGCAAATTACAAATGCTTGTCCTGCAGACCTGTGTGGAAATATACTCATTATTATTTATATACACATTTGTATATAAAGAATGACATCAGTTCCAGGGCTCTAGAGTGCGACCAATTTGGTAGCAAATGCAACCAAATATTTCAGTGGTGCAACTAAAAAAAAAAATTTGGTCGCACTGTTCGCGTAACAAAAAAAAAAAAAAAATCTCTGCAACTCTCTGTGTGGCCAACAACAGACACACATTATGCCCCTATCGTGGACTAAAGCAATCAGAGATAGTCAGGGGCAGGACGTCACTGATTGGCAGTTGAAAGTGCAGTTGGAAGAGGGAGGTGAGTAGCTTGAATAAAGCGATATCGATTCATTAAATCCTGAATCGACTTTTAAATATAACTGTGTTTTGCCAAAAACGACAGATTCTCAGATTAAAGCTCACAAAACTATTTCAACAACCACCAAACAGCAAATGAGAGCAGGTACACGGATTCCACACAAAGACGTAAACACAGAGCGGACCCGACGCATCAGAATCAGCTTTGTCTTTCTCGGCTTTCTCACCCGACAGCCCGCAGACGGACACGCTGTCGGAGC